CTACTCTGGCTATGCTATTTTGGCTTGCAGGCGTCATGTCACAGTACATTCTAGTTTTACATTTGATGGTTATACAGAAGACAGACTGCGCAAAAACTTCATGAAGATAAGTATCCAGTTGGCATATGTTTAACACAACAAGAAAAGCAAAGACAGACAAACTCCATCAACATAAGTAATTATGGATGACATTTAACTTGCAGAGAATATCAAAATACATAGAAAGAGCACAAGGCATTTTTATACCACAGCAACTAGCAAACATTCAACAGGTAACTGCTAACTTGTCAAAACACAGGACGATTCAGTCTTATGGCCAGATTTTAGGAGGTTATTGGGGGAAATTTGAAGCCACAAATATAAATGAATGCTTGTTTGACTCATTACCCATGTTAAGTTATGATGGTTTGTCAGATTTTAAGAATATTAAATAATTATCCATTCATGTATACATTTAGCTATTTACACAGAACACCTTTATGAGTACTGCTTTTAATTAGGATGAATGGAAAGCAAAGATTCACAAATTGTTACCTCTTTTCTGTTTCAATTCTACATTATGTTCAACACAAATATCAGACGGCCTTCCAGGGACTTGTACACAGTTCTGTGCATTTCTACCTCCTCCAGGTCACACGCATGCTTCACTGTAACGTTACATTGAATCCCTGACACAACCAGATATTAGGTAGGCCCTTATTATGTGGAACCTGTTTGTTTCATGGTAACTACCTAGTAATGGGTCTACATGTTACAATATACTGAAGAGGGCAAAATATTACCACATATAACAATCTTCTCCCCCTAACTAATGAACTCCATGTAGATGAGCTCTTCTTGAGAAACTGCTAGTAGCTCAGCAACTCAAGAATTCCCCAACATTTTATGGAACCCAAAGGTTCATTCACAAGAGCCTTGCACCTGTCCCTATCCTGAGACAGATCAATCAAGTCCATACTACCCCAACCCATCTCTCTAAAATTCACTGTAATATTACCTTCACGCCTATGTCTATATCTTTCTAGTAATCTCCTTCCTTCTAGTTTTCCCACCAAAATCCTATATGCATTCCTCTTCTCCCCATGCATGCTGCATGTCATGCCAATCTCATCCTCCTTGACTTTATCATTCTACTTATACTCGGTGAAATGTACAAGTTACGAAGCTCATCAACATGCAGTTTTCTCCAACCTCCTATCACTTCATCCCTCTTTGGTCCAAATATTCTCCTCATTATCCTCAACCTGTGTTCCTCTGTTAACACACTGGGGATGGTACACAAGAATCAGCTTCCGCTAACTACTGGTGGCAATTGGGGTCTGAGAATTTTTGTTTTCACGCACACATCAACTTTCCTGTAGCTGATGCCATCATGTGTAAGAATGATAACTTCTTAGTTCCTGATCATATGGTAGAAGCCTTGTAGATTTGTATGCAGTATTCTGTACCTTGCTTTCCACTTTTACTGTGTTATAAATAAATGTTTACAAAATCAGGTTTAAATTGCCCAGTCCAGAGGAGGGTGTAACTGAGCAGTATGACCGGCCACCAATGCGTTAATGTCAGAGACCAATTCCACACTCATTCAAAACCACAAGCAAAATCAGTTTTGTACATTCTAATTCTTTATGTTTTTAGGCAGCAGACGAGAAGACAAAACATTCTGGACTGAATGGTAACAAGCATTAACCAAAATTCAACATCCTCTTAATTTCCTCCTGAATAAATGTTTTGGTTTGTTACTGTCATTCCCACATATTTGAACTGTGCCACATTTTCAAAGGATCTATTAGCTATCTTTTCCTTCATGAGAAAACAAGTTTAAAATTTTAATTGTATGTCAATATTTTTTACCTTTTTTGGGAAAGATTTTATTAACAAGCGAGCATTTTCTTCACTCTGCAATGCCTCTTGATATGTTAGTTGAGGTTTACCAGTCAGAGAACAGCACCATACCAAAGAATTGCACAAGATTACACGCTGACAGAATTCCCTGCAAAATATATAGCTTTCAATTATTGCAAATTTACAACTACACAATGCTAACATACCGGGTGTTTCATGACTTTAGGGGGCATAACTGCAGGAGGTGATTTCCTAGGTCTATGTGATCAAAAAAGTTCATACAAACATGTGTCCGATTTTGGACGGTTACGGAGTTATGACCGTTTTTTCATTCCGGTACACGCCCTTGTGTGAACCGTGTCTGTCAGCTGGCTGGTCGCTATTTTTAGCCAGCTACAGACTGAGCGTTCTCGTTATCTTGACACTTGAGGTGTACCTAAGGCGGGGAGGGTTGGTATGTCCAGCGCGGTTCACAACCGAGCGGCAGCATGTGTTGAGGCCGGCGGCGGCATTTCTGAAAATCAGCTTTAAGCACCAATAAATTCAAATTAAAGGTAATTTCATGAAGTTAACTTTACATTCATACTTTAAATGTATAATGTATTATGCTGGTTTATTATTTTGTTATGTTTATTGTCAGTAATCGTTACCTTTTATTTTTTTTTTTTATATATATATTTATTAGCAATCAGAATAAAATACATTCTTTTAGCTAATTTGCTAATTTAAACACCGTCCTCGTGTGCTTATTGTGTCGTGATGAGGGCTCCTCCAATGAGAGATCCTCTAACCATCAAGTAGATCTGCGGGCCATAATTTCTTTAGCCTTCTTCGTTGTTGTTGTTCCAGTAGGGGCTGCAGTAATGTATTGCTATGGTGTCCTAGTTTATCGTGATGTTTTATGCTTCTTTCTTGGATGACTTCTTTGACGAATGGTACATTGAGATCGTCATGTAGGGTCTGATTAGACACATACCAAGGTGCATTTGTGATCATCCGCAGTATTTTGGACTGTCTTCGTTGCATTATGGCTATGTTCGATTTACTGGCGCATCCCCATAGTTCGATTCCATAGGTCCAAATAGGCTTTATGATGGTCTTGTATAGAAGTACTTTACTATCTAGCGATGTGCTGGATTTACTTCCAATGATCCAATGTATGTCTTTTACTTTTAGGTCTACCTGTTTCCTTTTTTTGGTTATATGCTGCTTCCAAGTAAGCCTGGAATCCAGGTGTAGTCCAAGATACTTTACTGTTGATGATTGTGGAATTTCAGTATTATTTATGTGTACGGCTGGGCACTGCTCTTTTCTCATTGTTAAGGTGACCTGTACAGGTTTGGTAACCTTCTATTCTGAGTTTAAAATGGTCATAACTCCGTAACTGTCCAAAATCGGACACTTGCTTATATGAACTTTTTTGATCACAAAGACCTAGGAAATCACCTCCTGCAGTTATGCCCTAAAGTCGTCAAACACCCTGTATATGTTAGCATTAAGTTGTACAGGGTTACAGCATGCTTTTCAAATGCTGAATGTCCTCAAATCAAACAAGTTAGGAACTGTCCAAGTTCCTACAGAAGAGACAATAACGAATGAAATTATACTGCTCACACCTTTCATATGTGGTTATCATCTCCAAACTATAACACAGAAACTTAATTCTGCAACATTTTAAGTGTGATATGTTTCATACCACACAGACAAAAACCAGTAAGTCTGTTCATTTGTTCCTTCCAGTTGAAGTACAATCATGTTATATGAGATCTGTGGTTTTCAAAGCAGTGAATTTTAAGAACCCTATTCTGAGATGTGACACTGTATACTTGAGTAAATAGCTACTAATATTTATGTCCAAACTGCCACCATCTCCAAGATGGAGGCTGAAGCTTCGTCCAAGATATAGGTACCTATCTATCTACCAAACTACAGAGCATCACATCCCAGATGACCGTAATCTTATAATATTATTTATACCTTCTCTGCTCAGACTTATAAACTGGAACTTACAAACAGAATTTAAATTTGCATACATCTGATTATGTGTGAAAGATACAAGGATGGGAACAACTGAACTTGTAGTGAGTTCAATCTTCATTTTAAAACTATTACAATCCAGTCTCACAGCTATGCAAAGGAAACTGACATACTTAATATATACCAACAAAACAGCCACAGAGATACCTTGGAAAGTCCACACATAACAGAAACAAACAATTTCCAGTCAGAACTGAAACAAATTTTTGTAACAATTTGTCCCAAGAACACAGCTTCTGTCTTAAGAGACTCTTCAGGAAATACTGTATTCAGCATAGGATTCTTAACAATTATAAATGAACTGAAGAAAGATCTTGTCTATACAGAAATTCAAGACAGTAAATTGCAATTTTAGTGGTCCTGGAACCTGGCACCAAATTTCATGGCCTTTATGCCATATAATGAATTTCTTATAAGGAGACAAAAGTTTTTAGTGTAGCAGAGTACTTACATTACTGACATCAGGTGAATCCAATGGCTCTAAAACATGAATGAATGAAAGGATGGATGGATGGATGCATGGATGAATGAATGAAAGAAGGGGGAGGAAGGGAGGATGACAATGATCATAGATCAACCTATCCTAGAAAGAAAAATGTGTTCTTACCCCATTAATAATAATGGGAAATGCAAACCAAATCTTAGCAAACAATATGGGAAGAGAGACAGCTATAAAAGAGATAATATAGAAAAAGATCCCAAAGAAAATGGATGTAAAGAGAAAGGACTGGATTCATTGGGTTAAGAAAAAGATCCCGTGCAATTACTGTAATTACTGCCACTGTTGTTTCATTTTATAAGTATTATTTTCATTGTGGTTCCAAAGTGATCTCCTAAAATGTTACCCATGTGGCTTCTGATATTTGTCAATGTACAGTATCAGGTCCATGGCAGAAGTTATCCCTGGGATTAATAAATTAAGCACCACACAATGAAAATGTATTGGGGAATGGAGGTATAGGTCCACCATTCTTGACCTTGGCATCAGGTGCAGGTGAGTGGTCAGCTTCATGCTTCACTTCTTTATACCCCAGGAAAGAGCCCCAAGTAGGAGGTTGTGTGGGACCCATAACTATAGTCCATTCGCGGAGATGAGACAGTAAGTGTAAACAAAGCAAGCCCTGTGTCGCCACAGCTGACAGCAAGGAGTGGACAAAGCGCGCAGTTACTTCAGTGTACTCACTGCATTCGGACGCACGTTAACCTGCATTCAGACTGAAGAGTGAACTTTGGACGCCCCTGCAACGGTACACGCATCACGTGATCGCTGCATGATTTCATTCAAATAGCGAAGGAGATACCGCGTGCATTTGTTTATGAGGACTCTCTCATCTCCGTGAATGGACTTTAGTCTGAAAGTTACAGAGAAGAGAAAGATCTTGCCCCAGGCAAGAATCGAACCCAAATTCCTCTTTGCTCCAGCCAATGGCCTTGTCACCATACTGACTGAACTATCCTGGCTCCCAATAGGTTCATGGACCATATAAATTTGAAACAATTCATTCACTTTACACTAGGAAACCAAATGACATCAGCAGCTTGCCCAGTTTATTTCACTATCAAAAAACACAGCCAGGAAAACTAACTACCAGTTGTAACAAATCAAAAGGTTCCATTACACTTTCCAACAGTCATACACTGACCACATAAATAAAAGAACACAATCAAAACTTTACAAAACTGACAATCACAAAACTCCACACTTTATTATGACAAATATCTCTCCAATAAAAACAATACAGAGTTGGTATCCATGAGTCTCTTAAGCTACTTGTGGAGAGCTGAAGTTCACTTTTCCTTTAGCTTCCTTCAAGGAGAGTTCTGTTAAGTGCCTGCAGTTTCCTGACCCTTTCAATATATAATATTGGGAAAATGAGTATTCAAATTAATGTAGCTCTCTATACAATCTTCAGCTTTCAACTGGGCAAAGATCTTTCCCCACTCTTCTACAACTTTGAAAACGTACAACTCAAATACCATCAGCACTGTTAAATTGTGGTGCAATCACGAGCAGCAGGTGACTCACAAAAATATTCAGAATAAATGAGCCCACATTTTGACATATTATAGTATTGAGCACCACCTATACGGTTTAAAACAAGTGCCATGTTATACACTACGGTTTTAGTTATTACCGCTATGTACTTTTTAAGTCAGCATTTCAATATAAACTCTAATAACAATCAGAATGATAATGACTGTTAGAAATGCAATTTTGAAGCCTCCATTACCAATGTAGAGCAAGGAATAGCAACCTATCTTCTTGATATTAATCTATAATTTATAGAAATGTCAAACTCGTAACAAACTTACTCATAATCCCTAAATATCTCATTAGTTAGCTCGCAGTAGAACACTTCTTCGTCATCTTCCAGATCGTGTGGAAGTTTCTTCTTCAGAAATGGCTTTCTACGCAGCAATGGCATGATAACACCAACAACTTACTTTGGAGGGAAATGACTGCAGCTATAGGGTTGCTGCAGTTGGCTTAGAGGGGCAAGTCTATTCCCAAACCTACAGACCACTTTCACATAATCGACAATATTACGAATACGTACTTTTCGAGCTTACACCAACGAAAAAAAAGTAAAACCCGCTAATAAATTACTTCAGGAATTACAAACCGCTGCACATTCCTACAAAAAAAAATTACACATTTCGCCATTAACGAAACACCAATACTCTCTTACATTTAGTACACAGACACAAACGACAGTACCCAAGCACTGCCACGGTAGGATAAATAGTGGGACGTTTGAAGAACGTTCAGAAACTGACACTGGTAGAACAGGTTAATGGAATCGATTCATGAATTCCGTAATGTAAACGGCTTCAGTTTGCATAAACTGGAATTTTCTGTTTACGAGACAGTACTTATAATAGCTGCCTTTGTTATGGCCAATCATATCGTGGGTGTAAAATTGCGTTATATATAAGAAACAAGATTTCTGAGGAAGAACTAATCGTTTACTTTTCTTCGGCACAGCATGGACGGCATGAACCGCATACAAAACGACTCCTCCAAAAATTCTTCTAATGCTGCATGTGCATTTCTTACCGCGGTAACGTTTTATTGAGCCGTTGTCTACAAAGAGTAGAAGGATACACATACAGAGATACAAACTGCAGGGATGGATTTATGAAACACGCCGTTGAGATAGGCCCAAATACAATTATATACATGACCACGTTTCACATTGATTACTTCAGGCATTAAAATGTTGATAGGAGGGATTCACAGACAACCAAACAATATGGTGATATCTTAAGAATGCTTTTCTGTCTTCACAATAAAGGAAGCTGGCTAAAAATATACTTTCTTATGCATATGACATGATGAAGAAATACGTTGTACAATGTGCACGACATTTTAATTCTACTAGAAACATTACAGCATTATATGGTACTGTACTTTTGCTAAGATGAATATTCTGCATTTTTAAATAGTGAGTATTTGATCATGTTATTTAGAAAACACAAATAACTTATATGTAGCGACGAGAAGCATGGATTCCACCAGAAACGACTTTGTTAGTAAATCGAATATATTCTACAATACAAGGCTCTACGGGATAGGGAACACCAAGGAAACTGGAAACTACAATGCAACCACAATTTCCGAGAGAAATCGCCGATTTCAACTGGTTTCCAGATTAGCAGGCGCACACTGAGGAAACTTTGGTTTGACTAGTTGCTCATATCATCTTAGGTGGGTATGTTCATCCGACGTACTGCAAGATTGTATTTTTCAATTTCGTGCACGCGCGTACTAATAGAAGATGAAAATACTAATCCTGTCATAACATGGTCGCAATCGAGACCGGCTGAGACGACGACCGCAAGGAAAATATAGGGATGTTAATTTGTTTTAATTTTGACATACAGTGCAACAGTTTTAGCAATATAGAAAATACCTGATTATGGCCATATACAGCCGAAACATATAATGTGGAAGGCGACTATATAATGTTACCTTATCGTCCGTCAATATGGCAACACTTGTTTATTCACTTCTTAATTTTAATTTATAATTATTAGGGACCGGATTTTTATGCCCAAATAACCCTTTAAATATGTATGCATTTATGCATGAAAAACTTCCGAAATATGCACTAAAAAATATGCATATAAAAATTTGTACCAAATATTAAAATTGATTTTACATTATTCCAAGACCAACAAACCAATATTTAGGTTCATTTTATGCAATCACTGAATGATTCACTTGCGATAAAAAGCTATACTTAAATACAAATCATGCAATAAAACCAACATATTTCATTACAAATTTAAAAAAACAATGGTACATTTAGCTCTCCGAACATTCAACTTCTCTTCTGTTGCAGTTCACAATTACTAAATGTTTTAGATATTCCATAGTTAGTCGCCTCCTATTGTCTTGTAAAATGTCTTTATAGCGGGTTAAAACTTCTTTCCACCTCACAGTAACTTAGGGGCACGTGTACAAAAGCCACTATTTGCTCCACTGTTAGTGATTTTTTACTTGGCAGTTCAGTAAGTTTACCAGCTAAAATTGTATACACAGGACCATGATTGAAAATTTGAACATAAAAATTAAAAAATATATACGATAAACATTTTAAAAAGGAAATATGCAGTATAAATAGAGATCTTAGAAAATATGATGCTTATTCATAAAACGGGCAAAATATGCATTTATATACACCATTAAACCATGTCAAAAATTTAAGAAATGAAGTAATTCATACATATATCTAAACGAGCATACTTTCTGGTTGCAAGAAAGAAATATGCATTTGCATTAAAATCCGGTCCCTAATAATTATAATTTTATACTGCATGTTTCAGCTCCAAACGGCCAACTTCAAGTGTCTTGATATGTTACAAATTTATTATTAAATTATGTTAAGAATGCTACACTGTCTTAGTCGGTGTTAAAATCACACCCTGTCAAGGTAAAACCAGATAAAATCCTTCAGTTTCTATTATACCCACGTTTGTTTGGTGCATTTTATTTCACCTCACACATGGTGTTGTCCATTGTTCATAAATGTATCACAAAACTTTGAGATACGGAAATAAAAGTGACCTTTCATAAGCAGAACACAATACAAAATATATTAAAGCCACAGCCACAAATAGATAAGTATAATAGAGGTGGAATTTATCAAATGAAATGTTTAGATTGCCCATTGAAATATGTCGGACAAACAGGAAGAACATTCAAGACCAGATATAAAGAACACATTCGCAACATAAAAAATAACAATAGTAACTCAGGATATTCAAGTCATATATTGAACACTGGACACACTTATGGCACTATAGCAGACACCATGGAAATCATAACGGGAAGAAAAGGAAAATATTTAAATACACTTGAGAAATACCATATTTACAAAAGTAGTAAAAGAGATTTACATATGGATGACACCAACATCGACACACACAACCCTATATTTAAAATACTATACAAAATTACACAACATAACACTATACCCTCCCCCATCTCTCCCCACAACCAGGTCATTCTATCAAATTCTCCATAAGGATCATCACCAGTACAGGTACAATAGGACATATGGAAGCAGATGTACCGAGGGGACCTAATATGGATTCCACCTCACACTATGAAATCTTAACTATTGTAAACAATTTTAAGTATATTAACTTTATTCTCTTATTGTAATCAGCCAATGTACAGTAACTGACTTGTCCTATATCATGTAACAATGATCTTTGGGGACAAAACATGTAGTGTCAAAGTGTATAATGTTACACTAAAATTAATATTAAGAAATGAATAAACAAGTGTTGCAATATTGACGGACGATAAATACATGGACGTTAAGTTATACAATTGCAACAGGATGCTGAAATACAGAATAATAAGTTGCATTTAAGATGAAAATATATGCGAAATAACTGACATTAATGCAACAGGATGCTTAAATACAGTTCTAAGAGAAGAAAACACTGGGGGCATCCGTTCTATGACAATTTAAACTGAGGCAATTATATTGTTCCGAAACAACTTAACCTGGATCCTGACGCCGTCTCATGAGAAATTCTTTCCCAAACCAAATCTATTTTGTCCTGCCTAGCATAGTCTGGGTGGTGTTTGTAGTATAAACCAGGCTCTTACTCAGTTAACTGCACAAAAACAAAATTAGCAGCTTCGGCAACCTTTCACTACTACTATTACTTCATCTTGAGATCAGATACTCTCAACACAGTGCTTAATTACCTGAAGTCTATATTTTATCCTTAGTGTGAGAGACCAAGTTTCACGGCACTATTATTGTTTTGGGCATATTAATCATTATGCTTTTAGGTAGCAGGCAAGAAGACAAAATGTTCAGAACTGCAAGCACTGCACAAAACTAATTTGCTTTTAATATTTCTGTAAATCGGTTACTTGTGTATTTTTGTCATTCCTGAATATTTGAACTTTGCTACATTTTCAAAAGGTCTATTGGCTATCTTTTACCCTCATGGTCATAACAGTTCACTTCACAAATGAAAATTCTGAGTTCATATCTTTGCATCTGCTGTGTACTGGAATGAAAGGGCACAATAGACACAACCTTTAGCATGACTGTATATGAGATAAGTATTTTTGGCTATAATAAAAATAGGACATGACTTAAGGGACACATTTTAAATACTACTTTCCAATTCCTGAGAAATTCCATACACCACTTTACAGTAATTTTCTCCCCTATTTACTAAAATTCCTACAGTTTCTCATTAGTATGAATCAACTACACAAAAGTGACAAGACCTGGTACATTTTGATAGGCTCTATTGTGCCCATGCTGAAGTGTACAATCCGTCTGAAAGCTGTGAAATAAGTTACTGTTTTCTCAAAGTGAAGGTTATTTTCAAGCAATACATTCCTAAGAGATATAAATGCTTCGGTATAACGATTTACAGTACATGACACAGCTACATAGACTTACAGTAGGAAAGGATACTTGAGAAAGACCATGCTGAATGAAACACAGATAATATTTGCTATATGCAACAGTGAAAAGTGTCACTAGGACAGCAGAAGCGGTAGTATATGGACAGTGTTTTCTCCCCACCATATTTATTTAACCACATGAGCTGTCAACAGTTACAGGACAGTCACACAAAACAAAATTAAACTGACAGTAAGATATTAAAACTGAAATGGTTTAAATTTTAAATATTACTCGTATTGATGCATACTCAATGCTGTACACACACCTAGGAGACAGAACTAAAATATTCAGCAAGTGTAAATGAAAAACAGGTGCCAAAGGCATTCACTGTTTATTTTCTATTTTAGCAAGTCTTTAATAGAAGTATGACATAGTCTGCTATCATTACTTCCCTTTGACTGATAACTTGTATTCCAAATCACACAACTTGTTTTCCAACTCTGCAGTAGAATATGTCTGAAAGAGAATGTAAAGAACATTTTACCATATATAGAAAATACATCAAATGGATTCAACACTTTCAGAATATAGCAGACTCATGATTATTTGCTTTGTGGATCAATTTCAAGATTTTTACAATCCCAAAGTTATTGATTGTAGCTTCCTGTAATGAATCAAGTGTTGCCAATTACATCTGTTTCAGTGATGCTTTATGATGACTTGAAACAGACCATACATAAAACTTCTCACCCTGTTGGAAATTTCCATTTTATCATTTCATTGCTTTTTGGCTCAGCCTATTATCACTGAACAAAGGTTGTTTTCTTCTACTGGAAAGAAATCTGTCTCCCTGTTCACTGGCCAGTAGCAAGTAATTAAGTTATTTCAAGACTGAATGTAGTGTGGATAATGAAAATTACCAGATTTGTGGATTACACATTGTTAAATTACCTACGCTACTTCTCTCCTCCTTTACTGGATAATAAAAAGTTTTGGGATATGAAGTGTTCTGTCTTCTGGGATATAACACTGTGTAGTCTGTCAAAAGTCAACTGACATTTCAGAGGAACATGTTGTCTCCACCTTCAGGGTCAAAGAATAAGCCAGATAAGAAATCAAGGTGAAGCAGGTAGCAAGTAGAGTGATCAGCTTGCTAAAGTGTTGGATTATATATGAAAGGGGAGGTGAAATGCAAGACAAGAAGTCAGTTCCCACTGACTTGGCCACAGGACAGAATGAATTAAGGGGACTACAAAGATGACTTGCCAGTTCCCATTGGTTTTCCCACAGGAGGCAAGATCACGATAACCAGCACGACCCTGAAAAGGGCTGTGCTGGTCTAGAAAAAAAATGGGAGAATCAGTAAGGGTGTGGTGGGTGAATAACAGGAGTATAGGAGATAACTCATGTACATGGGTCCTATACATGCAGTGGAAGATATTTTTATGAGCTTAATTTGCATAAAGTGTAACTGTAATATTATTTAATGGAAACTCATTGTTCTGCTCTCAATGTTCCTTTTTATTTATGTTCTGAAGCTTTCATGGTCCTCTTGGGCAATCGAAGACTGTAACTATCTGATAATGCAGACTGATCTTCTGCAATCCACATTCATATCATTAAGAACGCATAGGTGCTAATAAAAATATAACCTACTCGCTTTCTTGTTTGTCTGTATTTGACTTCTGATTCTTCTTCAAATGGAGCATTTTCCTGGAAGAAATTATCGTCATTAGTTACAGTATTAGGAAAAATATTGATTTGTGAAAAATATATTAGATCTAATATAAAATGTAAACATCTGTAATAATCATGCCACCTTTCTATGAGGTATTATATAAGTCACTCCTTAAATATAAATTCTGGATAAACTATTGCAAGAAAATCTTGATACTTACCCAGAACTGGAAGTATTCAGGTGAAAGTCCTTCTAAATGAAGTATGCGATCCTCAATTTGCTTAAGGCGAGAGTAGATGTCTTTTGGCACAGGACCATGTAGTTTCAAATGGCATTCTGCATTGCTCAGTCTCTCTTCAATTCCCACAGGACCAGCCATTCCAACAGATATATCAGGCTTATTTGGAGATTTTTCATTCACATTCATTTTAAAAAGTGTCTTTACTGGATCTTGAGGGTTAGTACAGCCCATGGATCCTGGATCAATACCTCTTGTCTGTGGACCCCAAGGATTCAACACACGTCGAACTTGACACGGAAAAGGACAACATATAAATAAATATTATATGGGTAAAAAGGCAAAAGGTAAAGCTATCCCTGTAACAGGCCGTGAAGGCCCATAGGCTTGTGAGATGTTGAGAGTCCCACATTATCTAGACCAGTGGTTCCCAACCTGTGGTCCGCAGGACAGTTTATTTTCATTCAACTTTATCTTATCATGTTCCTCACACCTGGGATATTTTCAATGTGGCTGCATGATTTGGTAAATTTAAAACAATTCAATGACCTCATCGGAAATTAAACCCGTGACCTTCCAGCTTGTAGCATATTGCCTCAACCAACTATGCTACCGCATGCCCCCATTATACTTTAGAAGTCAAACAGTTACTTCCAGATCGTCTCCCTGACTTCAATGAATAACTATTCCTGTTTTCAGTTAATGTCTTCAACTACTTACCACGTAGATGACTTTTACTGTCTTTTCTTCTAATTAACAGGGCATCAATTCTTGCACATGAGCTATCACTTGCTGTCGCATTGCCATGGTAACAAAAGTCTTGGATGTTTCCCAAATTCACCTGCTCTCGTTTTCGTTTAATGAATGAACTGATGCGACATGCAATCTGAAAACGAAGAAGGGCATTTACATATCACTGATTGTTTCAGTAATCATTTCCCCCTAAAAAACCCACAAAAACCTTAATGATAAGGAAAAATTATGCTTTAATCATAATTATGGCACCACTTACACTACATAATAGTACATCAAAGTCACTAAAAATGCTTGTATGAGTAACAGCAAAAGAGAATTTTTACTTCTTTACGTGACATTAACAAAAAATCTCTTCTTCTTACAACTACCATTCACGCCTAACTACATGAGCAGACGTCCTTGAGAAGCTAACAGTAGTTCAGCTGTTCAAAAAATTCACTTCACATAAGTCTTCCATCTTCTACACCATATTACGGGGGCACGTGGTAGCGTAGTTGGTTGAGGAACTATGCTACAAGCCGGAAGGTCGCGGGTTCAAGTCCTGATGAGGTCAACTGACCTAATCCTTCCAGCCGCACTATGGCCCTGGGGTCAACTCAGCCCCTAACAGAAATGAATACCAGGAATATTCTTGAGGGCAAAGGGCAGGTGGCGTGTAGGGCTGACAACCTTGCCACCATCTATGAGCCGATTGTCTAGAAAATGTGGGAACCTCAACATCTCACAACCCTATGGACCTCCACGGCCTGTTACAGGGATACATTTATTTTACTTTTTACACCATATTCCAAAAAACTATTATTAATGTTATATGACTGCAGGAGGTGCAGTTAAAACATTGAAGGTATGGTGGAAGGCAATTTTCATATCTCTCAAAGCAACAAATTTCATTATAACAAGGAAAATGAATAATTTCTCTAAATTAATGAATCTTAGTTTTAACCAGGATTAAATCTGACACTTATTTTCACCTGATTGTTAAAAATGCTTCTATAATATGGAAATCTTACTTCTTTGCATCCAGCTTTAATTTGTATGAAGTGTGGTGGCACTTCTGTAGGCACAGGATAAGGCTCTTGTACATCTGGGACTCGCACTTCTTCAGATGACTCCAATTTTATCTTATCCAGCAAGATTTTGCCTGCTGAACAAATACCAATCAAATATTGTCACTCCAAAGGCAGCCTGTTTTATCAGATATCTTCTGTAATTACTGAATTAATAATGAAGAAAGTCGTCTTCTGGGTTTAGGCACCGTGTATTCTTCGTTTTGGCCGACGTTTCGGAGGAACGTAGCGCCTCCATCTTCAGAGCAGTTGAATGGCTTGGAATGGCTTCCAAGCCATTCAACTGCTCTGAAGATGGAGGCGCTACGTTCCTCCGAAACGTCGGCCAAAACGAAGAATACACGGTGCCTAAACCTAGAAGACGACTTTCTTCATTGTCATCGCCGTGAAAACCTCAAAACTTACATGCTTTAATAATGTTTCAATCTGAGAAACGCTTAGTGATTGCGCTTTTGTTTCACCACCATAACACAGTATTATAGAGGATAAAATAAGCTATATTAATTGTTGTCCAATATATATTTAAAAAAAAAAGAATAAGGGAACACACATATGTAAGCTACTAAAAGTAAATTTTAGGCACAATATTCATAAATTCCAAGTTAATACCATAAATCATTAATTATCATAAAATTTAAAACAAAACTGAAAGCAAAACTGTAGGCTTGTTGTAATGGTAGATTGTTTTAAGCATCAGTGATGTGGACCTTGATTGTTTCATTACTCTTTGATTAATCTTAGTACTGGAAGTCTTACATTAAAATAACATTAAAATTAATAAAAAAATCTAAATTTTGGTTTATATAAGTCAAATACCTAATCCTTCCAGCCACACTAGGCCCTGGGGTTTACTCAGCCTCTAACAGAAATGAGTACCATGAATTAATTAAATAATTTTCCTGGGGAGTAAAGTGCAGCCGGTGCGTAAGGCTGATAACCTTACCGCCATCTTTGAGCCGATTGTCTAGATAGTGTGGGGCCTTCATGGCCTGCTACAGCCAATGCTTTACTTTACTTTTACTTCATAAAGGTAAAGCTACCCCCATGCTTAATTAATTAAGCCCTATGTCATTATGATGTATGGGGGAGTGGAGGTATAACTAAACTATTCTTGACTGCAGTACCAGATGGAAGTGAGTGGTCAGGTTCAAACCCCAGCTGCAGGTACATAAAATATACAGGTCACATTAAATTATAAAATTTTCTGATAAAATAAAAACAATTTGTGACTCTATACAGTGTGAAGAGGTTTGATACTGTAACACGGAAGAAACAGAATGACAGGAACACATTAAGTAGGTTTTTGAAAGAAAATAGTGACAATTTACTAAGTTTTATTCAAAAGACATTGAAAGGTAATTTTAATCCACACACATACAAAGTGTCACAGGAATGGGTGGTGGCAAGATCTCACTGCCTGGCCAATGCACACCTCTTGCTCAATTGAACTACCAAAATCTTCCCTTCTGTAACATTTAGGAAACTGTCAGCAGACAAAAAAATTTAAGAGCTCTATCTTCTGGGACAGAATGCCATAGCAGAGTTCTGCTTGCTACCTGCTTCACACTGATTTCTTGCTTCGTTCATTCTTTGACCCTGCAGTTGGATGTAACATATTCCTCATAAACGTCAGATGACTTTCAATGGAGTATATAAAAAGAGACTGAGGTCACCTGTCAAGATTTTACAGCTTTTGCTGCAGGTGATATGCCTATACAGAGAACAGCAGTGTGTGAATCAACTCTCATTTGTCAGTGCAGTGCAGCTGAGTGAAGTAGTAGTGAGATTTTCAGTGGTCAGTTCAGTGTACGTCAGTCAAGTGAAGAGTGAGCATAGTATTGTGACCAACACTGATGCTGTAAATTAGCCTGGTCAGGTAGGATGGGAGACCACAGACGGGATGTTGGGTGGATATGTGGTGTCCCACAACATATGGTGGGCAGGTCATAGCTTTCATGCCTATAAGTCACGAGGGGGAAGGACCGCATTCCTTCCCTTTTTTTTCTAGAGAGCCTGGGAGTGGGGGTTGTCGTCATCATCATCATCCTAATGATGAAGGTATTTAGAGCCGGTCTTGCTCACAGACATATCCCATTGCCCTGGAGAGTGGTCAGCGTTCTATTCACACCTAACCAAGACACACTATATCCAAGCTAAATCCTTCCATCCTATCAGTCTCACCTCTTTTCTTCTGAAACCACTGGAGAGGCTGGAGATATTTATTAGATGAAGTCTCAATGAGACAGCCAATGCATCTTCATCAGCATGCATACCAGACAGGCAGGCACATAGAGACTGTCCTTCATGGTCTGGTTCATAACATACAATGGTTGCTTGAGGATAGGCTTGCTACTCTGGGAGGCTTCCTGGACACTCAGGACCCATTTAACAAGACACCTTTGAGTCCATGCATAAGGCAGCCAAAGATCATGGGGTGGATCATAATTCAGTGAGATAGATCCGTGAAATGCTCAGAAGTCAGCAGATTGTGATAGCCCAAATGGGGTGTCTAAAGAGGGCATATGTTGGTCAGAGGTGTCCAGAGGGAGGAGTCCTGTTCCACCATTGGTGGAGCATGGTGGCCTGTGGACTCCTTGCATGGCCCAACAAAGTTCTGTATATGCAAGGTTATACAGGTGACCAGTGCATGTTGAGAAATGGAAAATTTCAAAGCACCCAGCCTTCTTTCTAATGGGTACTGGTGACGTTACCTTTACTGTCTCAGGGCTCAAAAGGGCTCTTTATAGTATAAACATGGTGCAGGGTCACAGATCTGTCTGTCAAGCCTCAGATGGAACTTGTGCTCTTCACTAAGAAAAATAAGGCAAAAGGCTCCATTGAACCTGCTTTACTAAACACAATGCTGCATCCTACTAGGTCGGTGAGGCAGCTATGGGTTATATTGTATGCCAAGCTGACTTGGAGGTAGCATGTTTAACAGAGAATCAATAAAGTCTATGCCCCTTTTGGCAATGTCATAGGACTATTGGTAAGACCTAGGGTCTTAAACTAAAAATTGTGCAACGGCTTTACATAGATGCAGTAGGACTTATGAGTATGCTTATGTAAGCAACAGTTGTGTAGTGGCCAAGAGCCAGTGTGGTCATGATCAGGGCTGACCTTCAATGTCTGCAGAGGCTAGCATATGCAAGCATCACTGCATGGCTCCTAGGGCTGCTCTTGAGGTTTTCCCCAGTCTTCTGCCTTTATTTGGTGACAGAGGCTGAGGCTAAGACCTCAACTTGCAGACTCGGTAGTATACATACATGTGGTTAGTTGAGTATATGTCGAGTGTATTTTAAGCTCTGTTTGTTTTTTTATGGCTTGGACATGTTCTTTATATGAACTTTATACATACGTCCTGTTTATCCGACGTATTTGAGTGGTCATTCATTGCATTTTAATTGACATACTCTGCTCTGATTATATGCTGCAAACAAATTAATTAACAGAATTAACACATATCCAGTTACTAAAGAAGATACAGACCAAGAATTAAAAACTTTATGAGAAATATTAGAAAACAATGATTATCAACAACAAACAATACATGCAAAACAAAAAACACAAAATTCCTACTAATAACTCACAAGAGACATAAAAACCAAATGGGTCACCTTCACATATTATGGTCCTGATAAAAGACCAATCATTAAATTATTCAAGAACAGTAACGTAACAGCACTCAGACCTACTAATACAATACGAAACCACCTAAAACCAGAAGAAAAAAAAATAGAAAAATATATAATCAAAGTGGAGTTCACCAATGGACCAATGAATACAATGAATGACTACTCAAATATGTTGGACAAACAAGATGTATGAGGTACATTTAAAGTCTGATATAAAGAACATATCCAGGCCCTAAAGTCCAACAGAACTCAAAATATGCTCAACAATATTCTCCACAGGCCACACATGACACAATCGTCCAAACATTAGAAATAATATAAATTTAAAACAAAGGCCAATCACTAAATACACTTGAACAATTTCACACATATAATTTAAGTGAACAAAGATTAGAAACAAAAGATATCTTTGCAGACATACACAACTCCATATTGAACCTAATAATAAAAATATATCGACCATAACAACATATAAAATGCACCCCCAAACATACTCCAACCACCACCCCTATCAAAATATAACCAGCTCCTCCCACAAACACATGACCTATGAAGCATGTCCACCATGACGTTAACCAACAGTTAGTACAAACAGAACCACAGAATGGGAACAACTGCTATCTAATAGCAAGAAGATGTAGCACCCCTGTACAGGACATGATACAACATACACAATAACTTCACCACTGTCACTCAAAAGAAAAAAAGAATATAACATCAATTACATACAGAAAACCACCATATAATATGTGCACGAAGAATTAAAGAACAATTCAGACTCCCATGAAATCCCTGTAACCTATGATACAACACCATAGACTTGTATTTCGCAGTACAATAAATGGCAAAATTTGTTAACTTTTAACTGAGTTATAAAGTTTTACAGTTTATGACTAATATTAAAAAAATATAACAAAACACAGGAATTATAATGAAATATGGATCCACATTAGAAATACAATTCAATGATGAGTGGTACACTTCATGAAAACTGATGAGGATTCAGCTGGATTGAAACATGTAGCAAGCATACATAATAAACAAATGTTAATACAGTAATGTTGGTATATTTATTATGATTTATTATGAATTTGTTGCTGATGGTTGTATAATAAAACTGCATGTCATTCTGCCAAATGAAAAATACAATATGAAAGGTGATCACATATTCTATTTACATATGAACTTCATACTAAAAACATGCCATTAATAAGAAACAAAGTTAACAGGCAACATGCAGAATATAATTTTAAAATTAAAAATTTATCACCAAAAATAGAGTAAACGGTTTTCACGAATTCCGAAAACCATAGAACAGCTTAATTCACTTTCTGCACAAAGTATGAATTTTTGCAAATGTTGTTTTATTTGAAACCTTGTGTGAAAACTTCGTACACTGGGGCTCCTACTGATTTCAAACATATTTAATGTGCTACGCCTTGGACTTGTTCACACACACACACACACACACACACAAAAAAACATAATTTTCAAATGCACCATAATTTTGCCTATAACAGAAACAGTGTAGGGTTAGAAAGTAATAATCAAGGGTAGTCTATGTACTTTTCCATGCACATTCCTTATTTTCCTTCCACTCGGCCTGTTCAGAAGCATAAACTTCTTTCTTCCAGATAGGTGTTAAAGATTTAATGGTATCAATAGCATACTGGACAGCTTGAAGAGCCTCTGCTCGATGTGGTGAAGATACTGCTATCACCACACTTGCCTCCATCACAGGCACAATGCCCAACCTAAATCAAAATACAAAAATGTAACAAAGTAACTAACAGATGGTTATTTAGGTTCCAGCTTACAGAATTAGAAAACCTAGAGAATACAAATACAGCCTTCCTCCACTTACAAATCTGATGGTGGAATATTCAGCAACACAGGATCTCTTTGTAATAACTGTTCACAGATAGTGTACATACAAAGAGGTTAGTAGTTTAAATTAGTATAGAATATGTACAATCATGGCCCAGTCTCACAGAGTTCTTTTATCACCTTACTGCCTGTATAGTGTTAGTTCCACACTTGTGAATTCATAAAGCCGTAGCAAAAGGCAGCCATGGACTTGAACCACCGTTTTGATATATAGTATACAGTGCACTCACATTTTATGCAAATATGAAACAATGCGATATAAAAAATATCAATAAAGTCACTCTTCCTGCACAAAGCTTGAAATAATGTGAATCCTCCTAAAATTCGGCAAAAATCACATGTTGCAAAATTGGTATTAAATTATGACACTTTTACATTAAGCAAAGTCTTGAGGAATGTATCGTTACGTAACATATGACTGCACTGTATACTGTCATGTGTTAGTGACCAGCCAGGGGGTTTGTATTTGTAATTACTGAATACTTATAACCACAAAAGATTATAGAACTCTCACTAAAATACGAACTTCTGGCCATCCACATTACACTGGTCCCTCCTTAAGGCTATTCGTCCCAAATAGCCTATCGGTGCATCACAATGCCTTTTCTGAGGGTTCCTGCTTGTTGAGTCTTTTTGCGGTTAGGCTCCCCCTCCTGCAGTGACTATCTCCAACTGCTATCACCACTCCCTCCTTAAGGGCGCTTGTCCCGAGCAGTTTCCTGCTAATGTGCCAGTACATTCAGATGTATCACCATCATCCAAAGTCTCTCACCCGCTCTCTCTCTCTCAACAGTGGGAGTCATAACTCCTGGAGTGGCAGGTGCTGCTGTATATCCGGCTCTTCTTATGCTAATGCTGCTTCCGTTTCTGCTTCAGGGGGGGTTAACCCCTCAACATCATCCATTCCATCATTCCCACTGAAGTTCCAACAATATGTTTCGCAATCTTCCTTCTGAAAATCCCATATAGGATCTCCTTGCGCTTTTCTCTGCTTCCCAGGTGCAATAGCTGTCCTGATCCCCACCCTTTATCCTCTAACGTACGGACTTTTAAATTGCCAGCAGTCCTGTACGGCCGGAATTTAAATCACCCTAATTACCATTGCAAACTTCCAGAAAAAAATGCACATTTTTCATTCTATGCAACATAGAAATATGAACTAAAAAGAACCTGAAAGACTACAAACTTTTCTACATATACATAAAAGAGCAAGTTTTACAAATGAAAATTATCTGTGAATATTTTGTCATGAAATGCAAAATATAATCTTTATTATATATGTTATGAAATTCCAAAGGACTTACCCATTGTTTTTTCTTCAACCTTCCTCATCTAACATCTAACATGAAAGCTATTTTTACTCCATAAAATACTCCATACACATTAGTTACCTGTGATATATAGCTATGTGTTCCACTTTCCACTTTCTGCGTATGTCTTCGCATACTTTCCTCATTGTCTTCTCTGCCATTGGTTCATATGCTTCATATTCCAATTGCACAACCTGTTATTCAGAGAAAAATAATTTAAGATTTGAGGCTTTCATGGCGGTGACTATGATGAAAGCAGTCTTCTGGGATTTGGCACCGTGTATATGTGGTGTTAACCGACGTTTCGGAGGAACGTATCGCCTCCATCTTCAGGGTAGAAGAAAAAATATAAGAATTCTGCAAGCGGAGAGACCGTGAGAACCGGTAAAAGCAGACTGTGTTGGAAATACACAGCTATATAGAATTCTTATATTTTTTCTTCTACCCTGAAGATGGAGGCGATACGTTCCTCCGAAACGTCGGTTAACACCACATATACACGGTGCCAAATCCCAGAGGACTGCTTTCTTCAAAAATAATTTAGTCACATGAAATATTTTTAGAGTTTAGAACATACAACACAATTTGTTATGCCTTCTTATTTAAACAGCAATTTGAGGACTGAAACTATATGACTGGATAAAGAAAATCCAAACACCCACATGACTCAAGCTTATCATACTACTGTGCAATGACAACTAGGAAGAAAACTGTCTTAAATTATTTATGATTTCCAAGCTCAACTAATGCAGATGACCATGAATCTTATTTATATTAACAGCACCATCTCTCTGTATGTGAAAGAATATTAATTTCAATCGTTAATATTGTAGTGTTCTGCCTAAAAGCCGGAATATCTGACCAGAGTGGGCGTCCATTGCTAGACAACGGCTTGTTAAAACACGTGGCTGGGGGAACAAGGTGGAACAGACCACCGCTGAGCAATGCTTGGTAAACACTACCTAAAAGCCGGAATAGTGAAGCCAGACAAGGAATTATCCATTCTGCTGGCATATGTTCATGCATGTTTCCAAGACAACATATACATATCAGACCGTTACTACAGAAATGTAAATTAGAACTAGTGCAGTTCTGGCAGCAACGAATACACTACCTACTGGTGCATGGAACATGCAAAATGGAACCCTTCATCAAGGTGTCTTCTAGACTGTCCAACTGTCAGCTATAAGAGACCAGAACAGAAGCGAACAGAACAGAGGAGAGCAAAGCTCAGAGCAGAAGAAACCAGCTCAGCTATGACCCAGAAGAAAGACTAGCCAGGTGGCATTGTCTAGAAGACCTTATTTCTGAATGATTGTAACTGCAATTGTAAACAACTTATCCAATAAACAGCTTCATCTAATCTGATCCATCTTACAGCTCAGACTTGGCCTCTATTAACTTCCATCTGTCTGGTTCAGTAAAAAACCACCAGCTGTGTCCTACCACCTCTGCAAATTGTTCTGCATGCAGTAAAAGGTAGTTATTCATGTACTTAATTATGTATAATTAAGCATTATGCCATGAAGACATATGGGGGGGGGGGGGGGTATAGCCCCAACATTCTTGACCTCATCCTACATCAATTCACCTAGACCAATCAGAAAAGCCTCTTTGTGGCATTTATAGTTGGTGACAGTGAACATAATAATAGACTTACCTGTTTATTCTCAAAATTATCTCTGGTAGTGCCAACAAAAAGAGATATAGCACCACATGAAGGTGATGAAACCAAGTTTGAAATTTCTTCAACACTGAGCTTTGAATTCAAAATTTTCACAAAATTCATGGTTAAAGATAACTGTATGTTCCCCTTATATCTGTAAATTTAACCTGAAAAGAAAGAATATCTGTAATTACAAACTACTAAACTACGAGGGTAAGTCAGAAATTATCCGCCCTTTCTCCATAACACATCTTTAGGTTTGTCACACTGCCTTCTATGCATGCATTGTTAGAGCTGGTACTACTGTGGTCACGTGATGGAAATTTTACCTTGATCGCATCATTTTCCTTGATGCTGTGACAGCGTAAACATGGCCGCTCTGCTAGCAGTGTGCACCAATGATTAACAAAGAAAAGTGAACCGATTTCTCCGACTGGAAGGTGTGTCAGGGGCTGAAATTCATATGTGGGTTCATCATTATGAGCCAGAATCCAAAAGCCAGAATATGGCGTGGAAACACCCGGGATCGCAAATGAAGATGAAATTCAAGACTCAATCTTTCGTGGGAAAGGTGATGCTAACCGTTTTTTGGGACTCAAAAAGGCCTATACTGGAAGAGCAAGATACAGGGATTTGCTGGCCAACAATCTGAAGCCAGCAGTTCGCATCAAACGCCGAGGCCTATTGTCGAATAAAGTGTTGTTGCTGCATGACAATGAACACTCACACAAGGACGGCAAGACCGTTGAAACCATTAACCATTTGGGTTTTGAGGTGCTGGAACAGCCTGCCTACAGCCCAGATTTCGCCCTTTCCGACTATCATCTCTTTGGACTGCTAAAAGATGTTTTACGAGGTTTTTGATTTTCTACGGACAAAGAAGTGGGGTAGCGGTGCATAAATGGTTAGGCGACCAACCGAAAACCTTCTTCGTGGAGGAAATACACAAGCTTTTGGGACGCTGGACCAAGTGCATCGAAAAGGGAGGACTATGGAGAAAAATGAACTACTTGTTCAACCCCTACTTTTCTATATATGGATTGGTAAAACAAGAGTGCGGATAATTTTTGACTTCCCTACGTATATGGAATATTTTTGGCATACTGTCAATATGAGGAACATACAGAGGAGCTTCATAATTTGAACTCTCAACAAAATATGATTATGATGATGAAATCAAGGAAAATAAGATGGGTGGGTCATGCAGCATGAATTGGGAGACTAAAAATGCTCATAACTTATTAGATGAGAAATCTTGATGGAAATGACCACCTGGGAGACCTCTGTGTAGATGGGAAGATATTAATATAAATATTCTACAGAGACAGGAATAGAAGCCACACAGCAGATTCATTTGGCTCTGGACAGGAACCACAAAGGCATAGAATTTCTTGACTAGCTGTGTGATATTAGCTTCCCAAGCAGGAATATGGAGTTAGTTAACTATATTATTCTGAACACTGTCCAGTTTCTTAAACTACAAGAGGAGTATTTTGGAAATTGGTCCTGTTCATTTACCACAGACAGGAAATTGAGTCCACTGAATCCATTGATACAGCTATCACCAAAGCCTGAATGAAACAGAACCAGTTCCCAAAATATTGTGGCCTAAGAAAAGCAGGACAATGGACTGACCATATACAAACTATCAATAAGAAAGAGTATTACACACCATCATCAGCAACTTAGGGCACAGATAAAGAGCACAGAGCACCATCCCTCTTTCAAAGTTACTCTCTCAGTTAGACATAAGAAGTTCCTTACTTTTTATGAAACCATGTTCACAAGAGCCACAACCTGAGTCAGACAAATTCAGTCCACACTCTCATATCCCACTTCCCTTAGATCCTTTTTAATACTGTCTTCTCATTTACATCTAAGTTTGGCAGTGGTCTCTTACTTTCTGGTGTTCTCATAAAAATTTTGCATGTAGTCAATTCTTTCGCGTGTTATAAGCTCCACCCATGCCATCCTCCTTGCTTTGGCTATACAAAACGTTTTGAACTAGGAGGCCATTTTGAGCATGGGCCTGTGTAACTGGATGTTTCTGCAGGTGTGTAAGAATGTAAAAAATATGCTAAAATAAAGTACAAAAACTATATCACTGTATCTTATTCTGGACCACAAGGTAAGACAGGTCTTCAAATTATTAAACAATAGGAGAGTTAACTGAATTGTGTTAACCTTCCAACAAAGAGTTGTAGTTCTAATTTAAATCATGATTGTCCAAAAGTTCTTGTGGGTATTTGCAGATCACAGACAAATACAGCTTTCTAAATGTCTCAAATCCATGGCAATTTGACATATAAAGGAGGCATATACATCACACAATTTACTGTATTTCAACAAGAAAGGAAGCTATTTCAATAATTTTCTTTCTTTCTTCTTTTTCTTTCTTCTTTGGGGGGGGGGGGGG